TCCTTGGGAAGGTCACTCCCTGGGAAGGTCGCTCCCAGGGGACATGAGCTCACCCTAACAGTGTGATCAGACACACCTCATGCTAGTGTATGACCTCAAACTGTCCTTCCTGATCTATGGGCCTCAGTTTACCCATCTGTATATGGGTCAGTAGCAAAAGCCATTATGGAGAACGTGCAGTAGGCTAGCTTATACGTGAGTCTACCCACTCAGAAGGGTACTGCCCCGCTCCTGCCCCAAGATTGCCCTGCAGGGCCTGGAAGTCAGGGGGATAACCTCTATCCAGCGGAAGAGGGAAGGGTCCTCCCTGGCTGATGCAGGCCTTAGCCTAGGCTGGCTTGGTGGCTGGGCAAGGTGTGCGAGACATACGGCTCTTCGGAAGGACCCCAAGGGTAAAAAAGTCCCCTTGCTCAGCAGTGGCAGAATGCTTACTTGTGCTGTTCAAAGCCATTATGAGATTTGAGGGTCTAGATTATGAGGTTTAGGGTCTTGTCACTGAACACCCCACAGTTTCCCACTTCTCCCCTTCCCCAGGAAGACACAGGTGAAATTATCCCCGGGATCTGTCTCTGGATCGGGAGCATAGGAGGTGAGCAGCAGGTACTGAGACCCCACACTCTGACCTCGGAGTCAGGGTGCCTTCTCATTCCCTATCCACGTTCACACATCACATAGGGCTCTTGTAGGTCAGAAAGGAGCGTAGGCAGACCCGGGTCCATAATCTAAGCATCGTGCGCCCTCTGGTGGCGACCGAAACCATCAAAAACCAGAAGCCTGTCCAACCGGGCTCATGTGGCCCAGCCCCCTTCAGAATGGTGCAGAGCGCAGTGCATAATGTGAGAGTTTTTGACTTTAGCCTTGCCCACTGCAGAAGGACATTCATTCATTCATCTGATCTGTTTCTCCACCTACTGTATGCCAGGTAGTGTTCTAGGCACAAGCAACCAAGCAGGGACTAAGAACAAAGTCCTGCCCTCAAGAAGCTACATGCCATCAGGGGAGAGGACCAGGAAACACACAAACAAGCAGAGATGCAAGGTGCCAAATGGAGATAAGCCCTGGGGTACGAAACAAACCGGATATTTATTCTGTCTTTTATTTTTAATTTCTCAAAGAAAGATACGAGGATATTTCACCACTTTCTTCTTTTCTAAAAATGTACTTGGTGTTAAAAAGATAAAATTTTTAAAAAGAAATTGAGGCTTAAAAGAAGTAACATCGACGGTGTCTTGGATCAGAACAACTCCCCAAGGGGGCGACATCCTAACCAAAACCCAGGGAAACGGCAGGGAATTATATAGGAGAGCAGGCCAGGCACTGGACCAAGAAAACACCACTGCAGCCAGGGGTCCATCACATGTCCAAGTAACCTCAAGAATGCCTGGGGTCAGAGTGGGGGGAGACAGGAGAGGATCTGGAGGCCGCCTCATCAGGGCCCTGGCCAAGGACCTTAGGTTTCATCCTTAGTAAATAAGGAAGTTCTTGGAGGGTTTTGATGGGCTAAAATGTTCAAGAGCTCACTGGTTTCCGCAGGAAAAAGAAATAGACTCAAAGAGGGATGTAGAAAGAAGACAGTTGGCTAGGAGTTAGAAAACCATTGCAAGAGTCTGGGGGTAATGGCAGCAACTTTATCCCGGAGCATGGATAATGAAAGAGTCTCGGATTGGAGGTCCATTCCGAAGTCAAGCCAAAGTGAGTTACTAAGGTTCGGGCACCAAGAATAAGAGAAAAGAGGGGGAAAGATGTCAAGGCCAATGTTGTTTTCCTGAACATCAATTCTAAGTGAACATTTCTGAGATGGAGAAGATGCCACGAGGAGAAAATGAAGCGTTCCATTCTGAACATTGTGAGTTCTAATCTAAAACAATAAAAATAATCCACGCAAGTCTAGGAATGTCATTCAGTGGTACAGCATTTACCCAGCTTGCATGAAACCCTGGGTTTCACCCTCAACATCACAAAAAAAAAATTAAAAATAATTCCGACACTCTATATTGAACAATGATTTTCAAGACAATGGACATCAGAAAACAAAAGGTGGTATCCCTGTGAGACAAGAGACAAATATGAGCCCTAAAATTATCCCATCTTACTGCTTTGGGAGAGTTTCTGGGTTGAAATCCAGAATGTAGAAATGGGGGTTCTTATCCCCAAACTGAGGATAAGAAGCTGAGAGTCCAGAGAAATCAAGACCACAAGGATTTGCAGGACACAGCACTGGAGTGGAGAAACTCCTCTGAGGCATTTGAGGGAACAGTACCCAGCAGTCACTCAAGGTTAGGACCGTGTCTGTTCTCATCAGGCCTAGAAAAAAAATAATCCATGCGGCTCTGGTTAGAAGAGTCTTTCCCCAATAGTGAGGCATAAATAGATTAAATGCTGCTCTGGTCCCACCTAATAAATCATAAAAGCAAAACCTAAAAAGATCAAACTCTTCCTGCTAATTATTATACTCTAGAACAAAGTTCAGAATATTTTTAAGAATACAAAACTAACTAAGCAAAAAACACCTAATACTCATATAATAAAATATCCAAAAGAATGCAAAAATATGCAGAAAGGTAAAAATCATGCCTAACATCTAATCAAAGACTACCAGGCATGCAAAGGAAGTGGAAAATGTGGTCCAGAATGAAGAGAAAAATCAGTTAACCAAAATTGATCCAGAACTCATACAGATGTTGGAATTAGCAGACAAATACGTTAAAGTAGTTATCTTCCCCGTATTCCTTATGTCCTGATGGTTAAGTGAAACCATCTAAGAGACTTAGAAAATCAAACTTATAGAGATAAAAATTACAGTCAGAAGTAAGAAATACACAAGATGAGATTAATGACAGAGCAGACACCAGAGTAGAAAAACTCATGGACTTGAAGACAGCAAAAGAAACAACCCAACGTGAAACAGAGAAAAAAACAATTTCTTTCAACATGTGCAAGGATTTTTATATTGTCTTTTTGTTCAAATAATGAGAGCAAAATAACTTGAGTTAAATGAGTGTGACACTGATATAGGGGATTATTTTATTTTATATCAATGCTATTACTTCATGTTTGAGCACATAATGCTTACATCCTTTGTGCAGAGCGGATACTTACTCAGAACGCATCTTCTCTGTTCATCTCCTTCCCCTTCTCTCCATCATCCAGTCTCCTCTTTTGCAAAAGATGTATCCCCTACTTCCTGTTATCTGTTATGCTGTTCTTTATTTATATTGTGGGTTTCTCATATGAGAGAAATTGTGCAATAGTTGAGCTTGTGTGTCTGATTTATTTCAGTTAACATTATGGTCTCAAGGTGCATCCAGTTTGCTACAAATGACTCAAGTGTGCCCTAAAACAGAATTATTTTGAAAGGGAGCATCAGTGATCTGTGGGGCAGCTTTAAGCACCTTAATACGTGAGTGAGTGCCACATCCCAAGGCAGTGGGGTGTTGGCCCATCATTTCACCAGAGCACAGATACGTTTCAAAAACAAAATAAAGCCTGTTTCAGACAGGCAAAAGCTTAAACACTTGATTGCCAACAGCCTTTCACTACAAGAGAGGCTAAAAGGGAATCCTTCTTGCAAAAGAAAGAAGACACAGAAATAATGGACCCAACAGCAAAAACACCAGAAGGGCTAACTGCACGGGTAAATAGAATTTTAATTATTATTGAAACCACTTTAAAATGCAATCCATGACCTTCCCGGGAGCCATGCTCCTCCGTGGGGATCTGAAAGAGACTCAACAAGAAGATAAACCACGCCTTCCTGTGAGAGGGCTGGGGAACCAGAATAGAGAATCCCCCCCACCAACCAGCTGTCTGCACCCGCACCCCACCCAGGTAAGCCAGTGGCTGATCCAGAGCACTCAGAGTGAGATAGTAACTGTGTGAAAGGAACAGCCTGATGCTTGAATTGTTTGATTGACTTTGCAGGCCTGAGGCTGGTGATCTGGGCATCTGTTTGGAGGATGGCAGTGTGAATTGTGGCAACCGCGGGGGATTTCCTTCTGCCTTGTTTTTGAAATTCAGTGTTTTATTCCATTTTACTGTTTTATTTCTATATCTGATAATCTGAGCAACTATTTTGAAGATAACAATATGCACTATCACAACCATTGTTAAATCCCTGTCATCTTGCTTTGAAAACCTATATAGCTATTGTTGTTTTGTTGTTGTTGTTTAGATTTGTTTGCATCTTGATTTTTCTGTTTTTACTTTTTTCTCTTTAAAATAAAATAAAACACAATCAACTATTTAAATAATAATAATGTATTTGTTATTCATAAAAATGTGAGCATGGATATAAAACATATGACAATAGAATAATAGCTGAGAGAGCAAATAGAAATATTCTATCATGAAATTCTTGTGCTATTCCTGAAGTAGTATGATATCCCTTGAAAGTAGCCTATGATAAATTATAGGTACATTCTATAAACCCAAGATGACTACAAAAATAAAAATTGTTGAGTGTGGAGATACACAGCTATGATTCCAGCACTCTGGGAGACTGAGGCTGGAGGATAACAAATTCAAGTAATTCCTGGGGAAATGGAAAGTTAGCAATTTAGCCAGACTGTCTTGAAATAAAAGAATAAATAAATAAAACATATTTTGTATCCAAAATGTATAATAGATATTGTAATAATGAAAGGCAAAGAAAGTGCTCTAAAGGACATGACTATACATGTTTAAGTGTGTAAGATAGGTAACCATGTTACTAAGGTTTTGTTAGTTTATCAAACAGAATAGTCTGTACTATCATTGATTGTCTACTTTTTATGCTTTGATTTTGTAACTTGAACAACTGCTTCTAAGATAACAATATGTAACTTATCAACTAATGATTTCTTAGTGTTACTTTTTTTGAAATTTTGTATTATTTCTACCCTTGTTTCTGTTTTGCTTTTTTTCTCTAAATAAAGAAATAAATAGCTGAGAATGTGGCTCAGTGTGAAAGCTCTGGGTTGAATCCTCAGTACTGAAAAAATAAATAAGTAAATTGAGATAAATTTGAAACATAAAAAGATATTTAATCCATTTCAGGTGTGGTGGCACATGCCACCAATAATCCCAGAACTCAGGAGGCTAAAGCAGGAAGATTGTCATAAGTTCAAGGCCAGCCTGGGCTCCATAGTGAGTTCAAGGCCAGCCTGAGTTACATGGTGAGACCTGTCTCAAAAAACAAAAACAACAATAAAAGCAAAAACTCATTTAATCCAAAAAACACAGGAAAGGTTGAAAAGGGAAACAAAGAATATGTAAGTCAAATATTAAAAAATTATTGTTCTGGCATAATCATAGACAGATCAATAACCACACTAAATGTAAATGACCCAAACACTTCAATTAAAAGGCAGAGACCATCAGATTAGATTTTTAAATCAATATTTAACTATATGCTATATCAAGGATACATTAAATTTAGACACAGGTTAAAAGTGAAAAGCTATAAAATGTTATAGTCTGCTAACCCTAAATAACTGAAATGCTAACATTAGACAAAATATACCTCAAATCATAAGAAAGTATTACTAGAAATAAGAAAATTGATTTCATAATGATCAAGTGAGCAATAAATGGAGTACACAAAATTCATATGTTTATGCATGTAATTATGAAGTTTTAAAGTACACAGTGCAGGGGCTGGGGATTTAGCTCAGTGGCATAAGTGCCTGCCTTGCAAGCAGGCAGTCGTGAGTTCGATCCCTGGTACCAATAAAAATGAAAAAGACAAAAAAAGAAAAAATAAATAAAGTACACAGTGAAAAAATAAACCACAAGAAATTAACAAATCCACAATTAGAATTGGTGATTTCAGTACCAATCTCTCAATAATTGATAAAACAGGCAGACAGAAAATCCCTAAAATTCAGATTTGAACATTGTAAAACAACTTAACCTAACTGATATTTTTAGGATATTTCACTAAACAATATCAGAATACATATTACTTTCAAGTATACACTGAATGTTTTAAAAGATAGATCATATTCTGGGCCATAAAAATAGTCTGAAGAAATTTAAATTATTTCAAATCATACAAGTAATGTTCTTTGAGCACAATGGAATTAAATTGGAAATAAATAACAAATGTGAAAATTTCCAAATACTTGGAAACTAAACAATACATTTTAATAATGAGCCAAAGAAGAAATCAAAAGAAAAACTAATAACTATTTTGAGCTGAATGAAAATTAAAACAATATTAGTGGGATACCACAATAATATAGTATTTGGAGGACATTTATGGCCCTAAATACCAGTTTTTGGAAAAGAAGAAAGATTTCAACCAATGACTTCACCTCCTACCTTAACAAACTATGTAGAAGAGCAAATTAAACCCAGTAAGTGCCAAAAATAAATAAATAATAGAGATTAGAGCAGAAATCAATAAAATAAAAAATAGAAAAATAATAGAGAAATTAATAAAGATATAAGCTGAGTCTATAAAGAAATCAATAAAATTGATAAACTTCTAGCTAAACTGATCAGGGAAAAAGAGAAAGCAGATATTGCCAATATCAGAATGATAAAAATTATATTACTACAAATACCACAAGTGCTTTTGTTTGGGGTGGGTACTGGGGATTGAACTCACGACCTCATACTTGCCAGGCAAGTGCTTGTACCTGCTCAGTTAAACCCCCAGCCCAATACTACAAGTATTAAAAAGATAAAGGAATAGCTATTTAAAAAGCTGAATTTGTAGTTAAAACCTTCCTACAAAGATAACTTCAGGACTAGATAGCTTCACTTAACATATTTGCTCTGTCTCCTGTTTTCTGGTACACAGCTCCTAAAATCCTTGGACATTCCACAGTGACCAAAGTCCCTTTTGTGTGTTTTCTCAGTCCATTCAGCTATAACAAAATATTTTAGACTGGCTAATTCACAAATAAAAGACATTTATTTCTTTCCATTCTGGAGGCTGGAAAGTCCCAGCCTATTATTTCAAGCTCAAGATGCCAGCAAATAAATAAATGGTATCTGCTGAGGTTGTTCTGCTCTCGATGGGCAATGCCCTGCTGCTGGGTCAGTAATTGGCAGAAGGGAGAAAGAGACCAGGCAGCTTCCTGCAAAGTACTCTATAAACGTTTTTTCAGCCAGGCATAGTGGTGCATGCCTGTAATCCCAGCACTCAGGAGACTAAGACAGGAGGATCGCTGCAAGTTTGAGGTCAGCCTGGGCTACAAAGTGAGTTCAAGGCCAGCCTGAACTGCACAGCAAGACCCTTTCTCAAAAAGAAAAACAAAACAAAATAAAAAATACCTCACTCATGAAGGCAGACCCTCATAACTTCATCACTTTACTTCCCTGAAGGTTTCACCATTTTTTTTCCAGTACTGAGCCATATCCCGCATCTTTTTTAACTTTATTTTTTATTTTGAAACAGAGTCTTGCTAGGTCACTAAGCTAGGACACTGGAGGTGGACCTGGGCAAGCCCATCCCAGGCTGCACTTCCTTGTCTTTAAGGCAGAGTGCAGCTCAACTGCCCTGTCTCGTGGTGAGAATGGCAGGAGATAGGAGTGCTACACTCCAGGCAGGGGGTGGGTCACCCTTCATCCATACCCCTTCCTGTTCCCAGGAATGCCTGGGGTGGGACTCTCCTCTCCACGGCTCAGTCCTATCCTGTGTCCCCATTTGGCCCTTAAGGTCTCCTGTTTCTCCCTTGCTTCTGTCCAATGTGACAGTCTCCCACGCTTGGGGTTAGCAAGCCCTTGGCAGCTGAAGGGGCAGTAGCTGCGAGGTGTCCCGTTATGGGAGGTCTCCCAGCTCCATATCTCCAGGAGCCCCAAGTGGGCGGATGAGGTTAGGGATGTAGGCTCAGGGCCCTAGTTTGAACATGGACTTCTCACATCTAAGCTGTGAGATGCTGGGTAAGTCACTTCACCTCTCTGTCTTCACAGAGTTGCTCTGAGGACTAAATGATATAATATACCAAGGTGCTTCACCCAACACCTACCCTGTAGTGACAGAGTATGGATGGGCCACTATTGCCTTTATTTGCTCCCACCCAAGTGGCCAGGAACATGGTACCCGCACCCAATGGAAGCCTGAGTTTCCTGTGAGCCCGGGTAGGGTTGTCACACCTGCATCACTCAGCTCAGCCTGGGCTTCATAACGGAACTCCCAGCCCCTGCCTCTCTAGGTCTGGAATGCACGAGATCTCCAACCCTCTTGCTGACTCTCCGCCAACCAGGGCTTAGCCCTGCTGCCCCCAACTTGGGAAGAACAGGGGACCCAAAAGAGGAGTAGACCCATCTCTGTCTTCCCCAGGATGTGTAATTCAACAGCTAAGAATGTGGACTGTTGGACTCTGCCTAAATCCTAGCTTTGTGACTTCAAGCAGGTCACATGGTATTTCTGTGCGTGTTTCATAATCAATCAAAACAAGACCAAGAATGATATCTCATCAAAGGGTCATTGTGAGCTGGGCATGGTGGTACATGCCTGTAATCTCAGCATTCTGGGAGGCTGAAGCAGGATGATCACAAGTTCAAGCCTAGTCTGGGCAATTTAGTAGCTTAGTAAGACTCCATCTCAAAAAATTTTAGAAAAAAATGGGGGGGGGGGCAGCGCTGGGGATCTATCTCATTGCAAAAGTCCTGGTTTCAATCCCCAAAACCACCAAAAACAGCACACGGGGGTCACTGTGTAGATTAAGTTAGGCAATAATGTAAACATTTATGATTGTGCCTGCAACACTAAGAGCCATATAAATATTTACTATTCTTACTATTATTGTTATTTTTCTGGTACGTGGCCAGGTGCATATATGTTTCAAGACATACTTATTATATGGATGGATAGATGGGTTCATTAATGAACCAATCAGACTCAAAGATTCGGAGTTCACTAAAAACTGCTAACAATGGCTAAGGGTTTTGACCACCAGGTGCTTCTTAACAAGTGATCTAACCCAGGTTCTCACAACCGTCAGCTGAAGTAGGAATCACCATGCCCACAGACACAGAAACCATGACTCATCCATGATCGTGATCGCTTTCCTTCCCATTTTTTTTTTTTTTTTGAGATAGAGTTTCACTGTACAATTCAGGCTGACCTTGAATTCATTTTGTAGCCCAGACTGGCCTCGAACTCACAGCAATTCCCCTGCCTCAGCCTCTCAAGTGCTGGAATTATAGGCTTCCACAATCATGCCTGGCTCCATTTAACTTTTAATTATACAAATGATATAAAATCACTGAAGAAAAAAATTTTAAATAGAAAAGGGAAAAATACAAACAATAAATGTAAAATCACCTGAGATTCCACCCCCCAAAATTACCAGTGTTAAACATCCACTATCAACCAGATTGTCCTCATGCAAATCCTTTTTTTTAACAAAGATGAGCTCACATTATGCAGACACTGCACTGCACTAGAGTGTGACTCTCTCTATGTCAATAAATATGTATCACTGGCAGCAGTAAGTATTCCACTGTAGAGCAGAATCACAATTTATTTAACCAATTTGCTGCTGGGGGACATTTAGGCTGATCCAATTTCTCACCATTTTATGTGATGAATATCCTCCTTAGCCATACAACTTTTTGAACTTGTCCAATTATTTCCCTAGGATAAATTTCTAGAAGCGAAATTTCTGAGTCAAAGACAATACGCCTATTTAGAGCTTCTCATATATACTTACTGCCAAATGTTCTCCCTGGAAGGTTGTACCAATTTCCACTCCCACCCTGGGTGAATGAGATGGGGACCACTAATATTGAAGATGTATGAAATAGATCAGAAAACATGCGTTAGGAAAGACTGGACCAAGCTTCAGTAAAATATTAACCCCAGAAACTCAGCAGTGTGACACATGTACAGACTCATTTCTGTCCCAGGTGGCAGACTCAACCTGGTTCAGCAAAAGGAAGGTCTCTGCCGCACATGGTGAAAGTCAAGGATACTTGCAGAGAGAATCTCAGCTGCTCATAGCTGTGTCCTCCTGAATGAGGTGAACCTAGAGGGAGAAGAATGAACACCCAGCTTCTTAAACGCCTTGGCACAGAGGTGATACCTGTGACTTCTATTCATATTTCATTGGATGGAGGTATCATGTGGTCTTGCCTTGCTGTACCCAGATTGGATGTTGTAATGTTGCATGTGTCCAGAGACACCTGCCATACGTAGACACCAGCCATGTCTGGGACACAGAGTCAAAATTAAAAGTCATGGAAGGTAGGCAAGCATAGTGGTGCATATCTGTAATCTCAGGACTCTAGGAGGCTCAGGCAGAAGGGTGGTGAGTTTGAGCCCACCCGGGGAAACTTAGCAACTTAATAAGGCCTTGTCTTCAAGTTAAAAAAATAAGAAGGGGTGGGATATAACTCAGTGAAAAGCCCTGGGGTTGACTCCTGTCCAGTACCATTTTTTTTTAAGTTTCTCTTGGCTAGCGAGATATAAATTGAATTCTATTGCAAGTTGCATTAGTCCCGGTGTCACCCATTCTGGTGTGGCTCTTTTTAAGAAATAATTTGCTTCCAGGGGAGAACCACCAGCAGCTCCTGAGATCCGCGCCATGTTGGAACTTAGGACACTGGAAAACCAAACAACCAGCCTGCCTCCCTGCTAAGCAATAGTGGACGTACTGATGCACAGCCTAGAGTCAAACATCCCACTTCCCCTACCCCTCTTCTCCTGTCCCCCCCCCCATTAGCAAATGAGAACCAGAAATCTGAGCATCTCCTGGGAGGTTGACCATAGCAAATAAAGGGGACTTCCTTCTACCATCTCTTTGAAGGCAAATAATTTTATTACTGTTTTGCTCTATTCTGATTAATGGTACTGCTCTATTCAATATTCTATTTTGATAAGTTCTATAATGTTCTGTATTTCATCTCATTTTGATATACTTGATTGAAAGAACAACTATTATAAAAATTATGAAATATACTGTGATGCCTATTACTGTTATTCCGGAAACCTGCTGTGAAGTTCTGTACCAATTTCACTGTACGATCTTAGTTGGCTTTATTCTGTCTTGTTCTGTTGTATTTTACCCCACTTTCAAAACAAAATTTAAAAAAAAAAAGAAAAGAAATAATTATTTTGTCTCCAGGTGAGGAAAAGGAGGAAGGCCAGGATATGAGCTGGACAGTGGGCGAGTGATAGTTCCTTTTGCCTTCAAGACACCCAGCCACCAGGGCTTGTCCTGGGCTCCCCACCCAGAGCATAAGGTCAGCCTGGCTCCATAATTCAAGTGCACACAGGAAACCAGAAATGGTGGAACCCCGGGATACTGGACACTGGGACCCTGAGTGGTTCCAGGGATGAACGCTACATGGCTTTGTTATCCAATTAAGTCCCTTTGCATTTCTGTGACCTTGATCAGGCTACTGAAATCCTCAGTGACATTAGGAAACTTAATGTCTAAATTCTGGCTGGGGCACAGCTTACATAGAGCAGCACCCACTTCTTCCTTTAACTGTAGGGCAGATGCCTTTACCACATAGAGATGAGCAAAAGAAGTCTTGCTCTGCCTGGAGAGAGATAACCTATAAACAACAGTCCAGTATTGCCATGGTAGTAAGTGCTATGAAGAAAAATTAAGCAGGGTAAGGGGAATAGACAGGGCTATGCAGTGCTATTTTGTCCAGAGTGTTTACTGTGTAAAGTGACATTTGAGCACAGATCTAAATGAAGTAAGAGAGAAAGCACTGATAGCTATTTGCAGTGGGAATCAAACTCTGTGGAGAGTGGAGAGACTCAGTCAAGCCCGGATGTCTAACAATCAGGCCACCACCCTGGGCCACAGTAGAAGCCAGGCTTCCCTTTGTCTTACTTAGGGCACTTGAGGCAAGAATGGGACGCTGCAAAGCAGAGGAGAGAGAAGCCAATAACCTGAGAGGGAACCCCAAAACCTAGGAGGCTGCCATTCTCCAATCCCCTAGAGCAGTGATGGCGAACCTTTTAGAATTTTCAGTGATAACCAACAACTGGCCACACCACACATGCCATAGGTTCACCGACACTGATTAGAGGTGATGAACCTGGACCAAATAGCAGGCTATGCTGTGTGACCTTACCCTAGAGCATGACCCCCATGTCCTCCCACAGCCCACCCCAGCATAGATGTGTGTTCAACTGGTTTAGGAGGACTCCTACTATTTGCTGCTCCCCAACATCAAAATGGAGATGGGGCCTGGGAATGTTCCCTTGGTGGCAAGGGGGCTGTTTCTGATAAAAATCCCCCACAATTTCCACACCCACACATACTTGAACACATAAACATACTTACATTTAAGAGGTGATGGAGTCCACCAATGGAAAGCAACATCTCTGAAGGCAGACTCTCTGGGTTTGAATCCCAGCTCCATCAGTCTCTGCCATGTGATGCTGGGCTAATGACCTTTCTGAGCCTCATTTGGCAACCCATGCAGATTAAATGAGCTAATGTACATAGTACCATACTACCATACTACCATACGAAGAACGGTCTTAGCACACATTGAGGAGTGTGTGCTTCTTGGATGACACATACTAGCACAGGGTCTTGCAGGGAAGAAAACCAAACTCATGTGCACACCCACCACTACGCAGATGTGCACAAACACAGACAGACAAAATGCAGTCAGAACCCAGCATATCTGCTCACCCCAAACAAGCAGCACCACGAGTGATTTCTTCTAGGCCCAGCAGAAGCTGTCCTTTGTCAGCCTGCAGAGACTCTACCCACAAGGCAAATCTGCCCAGACCCCACCACTGCCATTGGCTGGCCAGCCTCTTCCCTTCCACTTGGAGAAGGGCTCACCCTCATCTTCACAGGGGAAGAACAGGACATCTGGTACCCCACAAGTGGCAAGGGTGGGCTTCCTAGGCCAACCCCCAGCACCTCTCCTGTCAGGCTTCCTCTCTGGCCCACCTCCATCCTTCCCATTGTGACCCTGTCACCCACCTGCTGAGAAGCCTCCAAGGGCTCCTGAAGAGCAGAGGACAAAAGCCACCTCTTGAGCCTGGTATTTAAGGTCCTGGGCTGACTCACCAGCCTTTGTGCCTTCACAAGCTGTCCTCAGCACCCCACCTCCTGTCCTCTCCAATAGCAGTGCCACCTCCCGCCCACCTTGAACTAATCAGTCCATTTGGGTCAAGTTCAAAATCAACTCTCTCCGTGGAACTTTCCATAAACAAGGTAATCAGAAGGCACCTGATCCGATTCTAATACCCAAAGCCCTCAGCTGCCAGCCTCTGCGCCACCCAACCTGGACAATCACTTACTCCTCCCTGACCCCAGCCTGTCATGGGGCTCCAGACTGGGGCCTAGTACCTTTGCTCTAAGATCCCCAGCTAGCAGCCAGGGGAAGGTACAAAACAATCACTATGGATAGTTATATGAGGAAGAAGAGAAGGGAGGAAGATGGGGGAAAGAAGCCTGGATGTGGTTAGATCTACCCCCACCCCTCAAGAACAGTATCCAACATGGATCGGGAACTTACTTGCAGCACTGTGCTTACTGCAGTCTTAAGAAAACAGGTTGTTACCCTTCCAGTTATACAAAGGGGAAACTGAGGCACAGAGCACATGTCTGAAATCACTCAGCTAGAAAGAGATGGGGAAGGACTCAGACTCAGAAAGTGTGGCTACCACCTATGCTTTTAACCACACACACACATCCTTGCCCACAATCCAGGTGTCTTTCTAAAAGTGAGAGGATCCAAAGATCAGGAGGACCCATGAAGACAGCAGATTGACTCCCTGGGAAGTCACTCTGGGCTGAGCTGGGTCACTGGTGAGTGAGGGGACTAGGAATAGAGGAGGAGACAATAAAAGGGGGTGTGGCATCCAACCCAGCCCAACGAGTGAGCTGTGTTCTGGCCCAGCGTATCTTCTCCGTAATAGACAATGCCACTGTGCCTGCCAGTGGCAGCCAGCCTGTCACTTGATCACCATGGCTCAGAGTGAAAGACAATGGGTGCACAGATAGGAGGTGTGGCTGGAAATGAGGTCCTGCCCCCAAACCAGAAGAATGCAGTCCCAGAAGACTGACCATGCACAGATTCAAGTGCTGCTGTCACCAACAGCAACTCACACCTGGAATGGGCATTGGCATCCCATTTTGGGCAGTGAGTGTGGCTCCAGCTCTCCCAAAGGGACATGAACTCTAGAAACTATTGGCCAGGGAATCATAGTCTGCCCACCCCAACATCACTGGGAACCCTTCCCATGAGGGCACACTTACCACCCTGCACAGACCCAGAGTATTCAGAAGCCAAGGGCTGCCCTAGAGACATAGGGCAGTGCTGACAGCCTCTGAAGCCATTTATTAAGACAAACCAAACTCAAACAAGGGTGCCCTTAACAGTGTAGACCAGGCCCTGTAGGAAAACCCTGCAGAATGGGGGATCATCCATTTTAGAAGCTTTCAAGATAGCAAGCTGCTCTAATAAAATAGTGACCTCTACCATCTCCCTGGGGGCAGGAAAGGGTCTCCACCAACATCTAGGCAAAGAGCTAGGCTACGAATTCTAACAGAAGGGAGCCAGCTCAAGGTCAGAGCTGAGACTAAGAAGATTAAGAAACAAAATGGTAGTAAAAGGTGTTGCCACAGAACACCTTGGGAGCCCAGAAGAAAACATTCATCCCACAAAGCCTTAGCAAACTCCAGGGTGGATTACCACAGAGTGGACTTCAAGGACTCTTAGAAGTGAGCACAGCTCATGCAGTGACCCCCATTTACTATTTTGGAGCATCCCAGGCATCAGGGAAGGTATGTGGATTGTGGAGAGCTTTGAACATGAAACTTCAAACTCTCCTGTGAGAACTGGATCACAAAACAGAGTTAGTGGGGCTGGAGATTTAGCTCAGCGGCATAAGTGCCTGCTTTGCAAACAGGCAGTCGTGAGTTCAATCCCCGGACCCGTTAAAAAAAAAAAAAAGGCAAAAAAAAAAAAAAAACCACAAAACAGAGTTAGTAGGAGAGGAGACCTTGGATGGCCATCTAGTGAAGTCCCCAAAGCTGGAGTC